TGTCAACCTGGCTGGCCCTCCAAGCAGCCCTTCTGCCGCAGCAGCAGCAACAGCAACAGCAGCAACAGCAACAAGAACAGCTGGGTGCGCTGCTCCGTCGAGCAGGACTGCAGCGAGTGCAGCATCACGGGAGTGCTGCGCAGTCTCAGCAGCAACATCAGCAGCAACAAGAATCACTTCCTCGTTTGCTGCAGCTGGTGCAATCTGGTGGCACTGCTGCTGCAGCAGCAACGGGCGCTGCAGCACGTGAAGAGTGTCTCCTTCTTTCAGCAGCAGCGGAGACACTTTGTGGACTCATTCTAACTCTAGCAGAAGCAGGAAGTTTCGTTTTGCTGCTGCGCGGCTTCGCTCTCTTCGACCCCAAAAACCCGCTGATGCATTTGCTGCTCTTCTTCAGGTCAGCTGCCCCCTCTCTAAGGGAGGCGCATGAGGCAACATAGAATGACTCTTGTTGCTACTGTTGCTGCTGGCTGCTGCTGCTGTTGGCTGCTGCTATTGGCGGTTGTTGCTGCTGCTGCTGCTGGCTAAGACGCAAAGGTTTGCTCTGGTGTGGGAGCAGCAAAGCCCCAGAGGCAGTGCAGAGTGTCACGATTGACAGGTGGTTGGATTGGAAATTAAGATGTACATCTGCATGCAACCATGCATGCATATGCATGCACGCCTGTACTCTGCGTACATATGCATGCATGCATGGGTTGTGCATGCATCTGCATTTTGTCTTTCAGGGCCTTTTCCCAGAGGAGATTTAACACAGCTGCAGCGGCGCTTCGGCGATTTGTCTCTTTCCGTAGCAGCAAGCATCAGGCAGCAACTCCTGCAGCAACTGCTGCAGCAGGTGCTGCACCAGCTGCTGCAGGAACAGAGACAGCCCCAGCAGCAGCAGGAGATGGAGCATCAGATGGAATCACCTTGCAAGCAGCAGACATTCGTCAAGTCAGCAGCGAACTGCTTCGCATGCTGCTTCTGTCTCAGGGTCCTCATATGCACCCCTTGCTGCAGCTGCTGCATGACGTTGGCTACTCTCGTGGCTTCTGTCTCCTTTATCACGCGGCTGTCTTCTGCAGTGGTGACAGTCTCGTGCTGCAGCAGCAGCTGCAGCGTCTACTGCAGCAGCAGCTGCAGCAGACGGTCGACGTACCGCTGCAGGAGACCCGCAGCGACCTGTTGCTGGCGCTGCTGCAACGGCGCAAGTATGCAGAGGCCCGGCAATGGGCGAAACTGGCAGGTAAGCTTTGGGGTTTAGGGCTTGGCAATACCAGCAGCAACAGCAGCAGCAACAGCAGCAAAGTAGGAAACTGAGCTCGTAGAAGAAGCAGCAACCACAGCAGCAGCAGCACTCGCGACAGTAGGATGGAAATGCTTGCAAAAAATCTACTGGCTCCTAATGGTACTCCGCTAGGTGTGGCAGCTGCTGGTGCTGGTAGTGCTTCTCCTCGTACTGTTGATGTCGCTGCGGTTGCTGCTGCTGCTGCAGGGTTGGGTTCTAGCTGCGTGCAGCTGGTGACAGTGCACGAAGCGGCTGAGTGCCTGGAGTTGCTGCGCAGGAGCAGCAGAAGTTTCAGAGGTTGTGTGGAGGAGCGACTGGGTGTGTGGGCCCGCTGCTGCAGTGTGTTTGCTGCGCACAAGTACCCCCAAGTTCTCGCCGCAGTCTTCTTGCTGACTGTCTCCGCACAGATGGAAGGGGACATCTCCCTCACTGAACAGGCCTTCGTACTCGCTGCTGCCCTCAGCCTCTTCGGCCCCCCGCACGCTCTCCCCCCGTTAATGCCCACGCGAGAGGCTTTGCTGCAGCACCTCGTACTCTGTGCACAGGGCAGCTGCTCGAAATGCAGCAGCAGCAGCAGCGACAGCCACAGCAGCAGCAGCAGCGGCACTGGCGGCCTTACTCTGGTCGATTGCCTGCCCCTGCAACCGGAGGAGATGCGTTCCGTGTTTTGGATAAGGCAAGCAGATGCTGCTGCTGATGCTGCAGCAGAAGAAGAGGGATTCTTCTGCTGCACCTCACCAGAAGCAGCTTCCAAGACAACGGAGCCCTCCGGAGGTAGCAGTAGCAGCAGCTGCAGCAGCAGCAGTTGCAGCAGCAACTGCTGCTGTCAAGGTTGCTGCAGATGCATGGTCTCCTCACAGTTGCTTGCGCAGCTGCAGGGACGCTTGTTGCTGCTGCTGGCGTCTCAGTCTACGGCAGCGGCAGCAGCAGCTGCGCTGACACCGGAGCTAACAGGCAGCCTGTTGGGGTCGCACCAGGCAGCTGTTGCGACCCCACAGCTGCTGCTGCATGGAGCAGCTACCCCAATCAAGGCTAGCTGCAGCAGCAACAACGTGCAGCAGCTGCTGGAGCAACTGCAGCAGCTGGTAGAGCCTGACGCGCCTGCGCTGCCACTCCATTACTTAGGACTTCCGCAGTGGCCTCCTCCGCCTGACACCGAACTGGACGACAAGGACATCCAACAGCAGTGGCAACAGCAGCAGCAGCAGCAGCAGCAGAGGTGTGGGTTTGATGGAAGCGACGGGGTGTCTGCAGATACACCACAGGGGAAGACGCCCCTGACGCAGTCCGCCAACAAAGTTCTGCTGCAGCAGCTGCAGAAGGCCGTTCANCACAGGGGAAGACGCCCCTGACGCAGTCCGCCAACAAAGTTCTGCTGCAGCAGCTGCAGAAGGCCGTTCATAATACCATCTCCATCGGGTGTACGCACATCGCAAGAGCCTTAGTTGGCAGCTTTATGACTTTGCTGCGCAGCTCGCCTTCTGCTGCTGCTGCCGCTGCTCCTGCGAGTTCGAGCACGAGGGTTGCCCAGGAGGAGCAGCACCGGAAGCAGCTGCTGCTGCTGCAGGACCTTTCACAGGAAGTACAGCTGGCGGAGCTGCTGCTTCGGGTGGTAGCATTGCCTATCCCTCTGAGGGCTCAGCAGCAGCAGCTGGTGCTGCTGCAGACCTTGTCTGCTGCTGCTGCTGCTGCATGCGCAGCTATCAGGCCAGGAGTCGGCCCGCTGCCGCCGCTCCAAAAGGACCTGCTGCAAATGCTGCAGGAGCACGTGGGGTCTCCCGCACCTCAGGAGACGCTGCAGCAACGGCAGCAACCGCAGGAGGAAGGGGCTGAGCAACAGCACGACAAAGAGAGTGAGCAGCAGCACCTTCTCTCCGTTCAGATGCACCGGCAGCAACTGCAGCTACTGTCTCAGCTCGTCCAGCGATGCAAGCCCGGGCTGCATGCGTTTTGCGTGGAGTTGCTGATCCTCTTTGCCGTTAGTCTGGTGCTTGTATCTCCCTTCAATGAAGTTCTGCAGCAACAGCAGCAGCAACCGCAGGAACTGCTGCTAAGGCTGCTGCTTGCAGCTGCTTTTCCTACTTCTGATATACCGAAACCTTCTCTCTGCATGTGGTTCGCTGCGAAGCTAACAAGAGACAGCCGACTGCAACAGCAACACGTCGCTGCTGTTCTCCTTGCTGCTTTTGTTGCTCATCAGCAGCAACACGCACAAGTTGAGAACGTGTATCACACGAGCCAGCAGCAANTGCTGCTTTTGTTGCTCATCAGCAGCAACACGCACAAGTTGAGAACGTGTATCACACGAGCCAGCAGCAAGAGCAGCAGCAGCAGCAACAGCAGCAGCAGCAGCAGATAACTTGGTTTGAATGGCCATTGCTGCTCCTGAAGGATTTCCTAAAGATATGCGAGACTCCAGGTCTTGTAGGAGAGCAGGCGCTGCAGCTACTGCTGCAGCAGGAACAGCAAGAAATGCAACAACTGGGGCAGCAGCAGCAGCAGCCGCAGGTGAATCTTGGCGTCGCTGGTACAGCACCTCCAGCTCCTCCACTGCTGCTGCACGAGCAGCAGGTGGAGTTGTCGTTGCTGGCTTATTATGATTTGGAGCGTGCATGCAACGCTTCGGGGCTGGTTCAGCTGCTGCAGCTGCTGCAAAGGCGACTTGAGGTGTACATGCAGCAGGGCAAACCTTACTTGCTGCTGCGCGTTCTGACCAGCATCTCTCCGTGTCCAGAGTTCAAGCCGGCAATCCAGTGAGGACTATATCTACTGCTGCTACTGTTCCTGCTGCTGTCTATCTGTCTATATAATATATCTGCTGCTGCTGCTGCTGCGTTTTTCTTTTGCATTAAGTGCGGTGCGAGCAGCCAGTAGAGGGTGTGCTGTTTGTGGTGGTTGCAGAATGCTAGTNCTTTTGCATTAAGTGCGGTGCGAGCAGCCAGTAGAGGGTGTGCTGTTTGTGGTGGTTGCAGAATGCTAGTCGACGGAGGTTACCTGATGCAGCTGCTGGCGGCATGCCGCAAGGGCATGAAGCAGCAACAAGAACAGCTGCAGCAGCAGCAACTGCAGCAGCAGCAACTACTAGAGGCCGTTACTATACCCGAAGTCCAGGTGTGCGAGTCGCTTGCCCTTGCTATATGTGACTTGCTGCACTCCCAGTACGACCAGCAGCTGCAGCAGCTGCTGGAGCCGGACGCAAACCCGCAGCAGCAGCAGCAGCAGCAGCAGGAAAGAACTTTGAAAATCACTCTGGACAAGTTGGTGTTGGCCAATTTGGAATTGGGTTTCAAGAAGGAGACCGGGTACTTGCAGCTGAGACAATCTTGGCTGCTGCTGCTGCTGCAACTGGTGCTGCTGTGTTGCTCCTTCCCGAAACGTTCCTTATCAAAGCTGCTGCAGCTGCTCTGCTGCGATATATTTGCTGTTTCAGGCTGCTGCTGCAGCAGGAGGCCTTTCGATGCTTGGCTATGGGGTCAGATGTGTTGGAGATGTACAGCGAGAGTGGCATAGATAGGTTGTCTATGGGACTTCAGGTGAGTTGGTATGCATGCGACAACGGAGGAGACAGCCTACTGCTTCTTTTGTTCGAGGCTTGTAATGCATGCGCTTGCGAAGACAGCCGCCGCTGCAGCAGGGGTAACGTGCAAGGACGTCTCTGGTGCGCGTGCTGCGTCTTGCTGCTTTGCTGCAGCTGCTGCTGCAGGCATCACGCTTTTTCATGGAGGCCGACTGTACTCCCATGCACTTAACCTGCTGCCGTCAGGCGGCTGTCGTGGCATTGCAGCTGCGAGCGGTGGAGCTGCAGCTCTCCCGCGAGTGTCTNGCTGCCGTCAGGCGGCTGTCGTGGCATTGCAGCTGCGAGCGGTGGAGCTGCAGCTCTCCCGCGAGTGTCTGCAGCGGCAGCAGCAGCAGCAGCAGCAAAATGGCCGACATTTAGTCTCGCAGTTGCTGCAACACTGCAGCAAGGCCCTTGAAAATTCGCTGCACCCGTTCAAGGATGCGGAGATGTCTCTCAAGGATGGAACAGACCTCCCGGCGCTGCTGTCAAGTGTCGCCTCGACTGCAGCGCCAGAAACAGCAGCAGCCAGTACCGTTGGCTCTCCGCTGCACCTGCAGCCAGGGGAAGGCGATGCTGCGTCAGAAGCAGACGCAGACGCAGAGCAGCAGCAGCGGTATGCGTGGTTCCGCACTCTCCTCTTTTCCTTAGAGGGATCTGCCCTTCATTGGTTTTCTCGTGAAGATAGAGAGGAACAAACTGGGGGCCCCAGGGCGACGCCAGCTGCAACACCTGCAGCACCTTCAGGAGCAGCACCAGCACCAGCAATAACGGCTTCAGCTGCTGCAGCAGAAGCTGTAAGGGAATCTGAGGAGCGAGCTGCAGCTTCTGTTGGTTTGATCGGTCCATATCTGCAGCTC